GCCGACGCCACAATGATGTCGTGATACTCTCCTTTCCCTCCTGACCAGCACCAACAATCTCGATGTTCCTCCTCAGGATGATGAGCCCCTGGTGGGCTCCAGCACTGGTGCTCTGTGAGCACCGTTCGCTATACAATGTGTCTGGTAGCTTGCTACCGGCTCCAGGGCGCCCTGGACCGAAATGGCCGCGGTCATATCCCGCTCTGTCGGTCCCTGGGCACTCGCATCGGACGGCCAAAATGCGTAAACACTTACAGGAGGGGGGGAGGGAGGGGAGGGGGAAGGAGGGGGGCGGAGGGCGGGTCGCGCCTGAGCCGAAGCCGCGGGGCGCAGAAGGACGCGCGAACCGTCCCCCCACCGGCAGCTGCCGCGCCAGGCACGAATCAAACCGAGGCGTGCAGGCCGTGCAAGACGCCCAGGCCTCAGCCATCGCGCTGCCAGAAGCAACGCAGAGTAAGCAACGGTTTTTTGTTTCTCTCTTCCTCCTCCTGCTCCTCCTCCTCCTCCTCTTCCTCCTCCTCCTCCTCCTCTTCCTCCTCCTCCTCCTCCTCCTCCTCCTCCTCCTCCTCCTCCTCCTCCCCCTTCTCCTCCTCCTCCTCCTCCTCCTGCTGCAGATGCTGCTGCTGTTCCTCCTCCTCCTCCTCCTCCTCCTCCTCCTCCTCCTCCTCCTCCTCCTCCTCCTCCTCCTTGGCCACGGCGGGCGTACAGTCGACCCGTATCAGAAGGATGCGCGGCAAGGATGCCAGGGGCCTTGGGCGCCCATGTCGAAGCTTCTCGAAACGGGGGGGCGCGGCCAGCGAAAGTGGCCACGGATGGGCCGCAGGGGCAAGGATGCAAGGGTCCCCGGGGGGAAGGTTGCCCATCCTTAGGATGCGGGCTGACTGCACCAGAAGCAGCGCAGAATCAGGAACGGGGGAGTTGTTCTGGCCCTGGCGGGCGTAGGCCACGAACAGGTTCCACGACAGAATTCTGAGGAGCGATCCGAAAACCCGAACACCTCCAGGAAGGGGACCCCCTGGGCCCGGCGCGGTCCTCAGTTCGGCGTCCCAACAACAAATGTTGTCTCAAACCAACAGCGGCCGCTGTTGGGCAGGCGGCCTTCTGTCTCGAATGGACACAGGCCGCGGCGGCGTGGACAGCGAATCCTGGTCAGAATGAACAGGAACTGCTGTTGGGCAGTGTACCCATTCTTTCCGTACCCATTTCGGGCGTCCAGAAGCAATGACCGATACCGCTACTCTCCAGACCTCTCCTGGGGTGCGTTCTGACCGGGATTTCCAGGCGAATCCGGCCGTGGTGACGAGAGGGGGCTGGCGGCATCCGTACCGTGCAGCAAACCCGGATCAGCCAATATGCGCGGCCGCCCTCGCGGCCACGAGCGGCTCGCTAACCCGGGTCAGCCAGAGGGGGTCTTCGCAGCATCCTGCAGGATCCGGTGCCGTGGCTGACCCCCGTCTGCATTGACCCCCGTCTCAAGGCCCCCGACTCTCCCGGGGTGCGTTCTGACCGGGATTTCTAGGCGAATCCTGCTCAAAATGACCAGGAACTGCTGTTGGGCAGTGTACCCACTCTTTCCGTACCCCTTTCGGGCGTCCAGAAGCAGGGACCGATGCCGCTACTCTCCAGACCTCTCCCGGGGTGCCTTCTGACCGGGACTTCCAGGCGAATCCGGCCGCGGTGACGAGAGGGGGGGCTAGCGGCACCCGTACCGTGCAGCCACCACGGGCGGCCGCTGCCCCATCGCCTGGGCCCCGTCGAGGGGCCCGGGACCGTCGAGTGCCCCTGGGGCCCGAGAACAGGGCAGAGCCTCAGACGAAGCCAGGACGAGGATAAAACGAGGATAAGACGAGGATAAAACGAAGATAAAGCGAGGATAAGGCGAGGATAAGACGAGGAGAAGACGAGGATAACACGAAGATAAAACGAGGATAAAACGAGGACAAATCGAGAATCTCTGGGATCTGGCGGCTCTGGGGGATGCCTCGGGCGCCGCGGCCTTCTCGGAGCGTTCCGGAACGCTCCGAGAGCGTTTTGGCAGTGTCCCGGCAACGAGCGTCGCAGCAAACGCCATGAGAGCGCTTCCGGATACACCTAGTTACACCCAGTTACACCCAGTTACACCTAGTTACACCTAGTTACACCTAGTTACACCTAGTTACGCCTAGTTACGCCCAGTTACACCTAGTTACACCTAGTTACACCTAGTTACACCTAGTTACGCCCAGTTACACCTAGTTACACCTAGTTACACCTAGTTACCCTCAGTTTCCCTCAGCTACCCGAGTTAAGGCATGACGCAATTAGTCTCAATCGGAGTGCAGGCATTCGAACCTGGAACCTCGGTCCTCGATCCTCGCCTCGGTCATCGATCCTATCCTCGGTCGCTTCATTTTTCAAGACAACCTCGCCGACACATCGGCGATACATCGGCGATACATCGCCGATGCATCGGCGACATCGGCGATGCATCGACGACGCCAGCGCGGAGAAAATCGAGCTCCACATCGGGCCGCATCGCCGATGCATCGACGATGCGGCGCGATCCTCTAACCCCATCTGCTCGGACCCAGGGGGGCCAGGAAGAGGGGGTGGTGCGCACTGGGGCCAAAAGCATGGGGCGCGGACGAACGGGGGCCTTGGAGCGTGTTGAACAAAGAAGCAAAAGAAGAATAGCAAAAAGGATAATAATAAGAATAATGTCAATAATAATGATAAGAGTGATAATAATGAAACGAACTATACGGAAATAATGCTTATACTCATAATCTCATGATCATAGACATCGCAACTACTGATAATACGTAGAGAAAAACATATAATACGAATAGGAATGCGAATACGAATGCGAGTACAAATACGAATGCGAAGAGCAATCATGATAACAAGAAAACAATACCAAATACAACATAACAAGAAACAATGGTAACCATCAGTATTATGACGAAGAGGGCGAATATTACGAATGATAAAATAATAAGAATGTAAAGATAGGACACATAATAATGAGAAGAAAAAGAGGAAGATGAATAAGAAGACTACGAAAAAGAAGAAGAGGAAGAGGAAGAGGAAGAGGAATAAGAAGAAGAAGAAGAAGAAGAAGAAGTCACAGTCCTGACCCCCTGTCGGGCGCCTGGTGTTTTCAGGACGCCACACCCGGTCTCCGGCGGCCTCTCACGGGACGATCCGGGCACACCTGGGGGGCCGCTCCTGGCGAGGCGCGGCTGCGGCTGAGCATCCGGAGGCTGGCAAAACCCCAGGGAGCCCACGAAAACGCCAGCAAAAAACCTCCCTGGACGAGGCCCTACACCTCGCGAGCGATGGGAAATGCAATTTTCCTTCAAAAGCCGCACTCAATGAGCCACAATAGCGTTTCCCATAACTTTAAGCTATGGGAAACGCAATCCCGGACGACTGCCGCCCTGTAGTCCCTCTCTGGCGCCCCCGATGATGCCTCGACGGCGCCTGGAAATCTGGGCCCCTCCCGTTCCTGTCGGCCCCTCGGACCCCTCATGTGGGCGGTCTCGGAGACCTTGAACCCAAAATTGTTTTCATCTCTTGGGGGGACATCTTCTACTGCCGACGACCTTCCGCCGCCCTTCCGCTGCCTTCCGCCGAGGAAGAGATGACAACTCCTTCGACCCTTGAAGGCAAGGCCCTTTCTGAAACGCCCCACGTGGCGCTTGCAGCCTGCCGAATATTTCTCTGGAAAACCTGGCCTCGTGGCGACAAGGACGCGCTGGCAGTCCCAGCCAAGGCCCAAAACCGCCAAGAAGCCTACGGCCAGGGACTTTTGCTGAGCGTGTCGCAGCGGCGCCCCTGGCGGCACGCTATGCCTTGGCGAGCTGATAGCGTGTCGCTCCGCTCCGCGGGGCGGGAGGCTGGCAGGAGCTCGAGGAGATGACGCTGTGCGCTGTGGGACCGGATCGTGCTTAGCATGCGGCGCCGCAGCGTGGTGAGCCAGAACCGGCGGCGCCACACGCCTCCTCCTCCTCCTCCTCCTCCTCCTCCTCCTCCTCCTCCTCCTCCTCCTCCTCCTCCTCCTCCTCCCCCTCCTCCTCCTCCTCCTCCTCCTCATCCCCCTCACCATCACCGCCACCACCATCCTCCTCCTCCCCTTCGTCCTCCTCGTTGTCCTCAACCCATCATGTTTTTCATCCCCGCTGTCCGTCACAATCATATTCCTCTCCTCATCGTCATACGCATCGTCATCACCATCACCTTCATCATCATCAGCATCATCATCATCATCATCACCATCATCATCATCATCATCATCATCATGAGGTCGCGACCCCGGAAAGCCTGACGCCCCGAAGCGCGAGGGGGGGAGGAGGAGCAACAACAACAGGAACAGGACAAGGATAAGGTAGGGGGGAGGAAGGAACATGGGGGAGGCAGAGCGGCGAGGAAGGATGGCGGAAGAAGACGGGGCAGGAGGGGGCGAAAGGAGGTGTTGACAAAGGGGCGCCGCTGTCCCCCGCAGTTTTCCCTCAGTTTCGTTTCAGTTTCTTGCGTCAGAAAGAGGCTGCAGTTGTAGGATACCAAGCCGCAAACGCAGTGCCAGGAAAGCTGAATACAACCGAGAGGAAACTGAGTGCCACCGAGGGAAACTGAAAGGAGGGGGCGAAGGGAGGCGTTGACAAAGGGGCGCCGCTGTCCCCCTCAGTTTTCCCTCAGTTTCGTCTCAGTTCCTTGCGTCAGAAAGAGGCTGCAGTTGTAGGATACCAAGCCGCAAACGCAGTGCCAGGAAAGCTAAATGCAACCGAGAGGAAACTGAGCGCAACTGAGGGAAACTGAGTGTAACTGAAGGAAACTGAGTGTAACTGAATGAAACTGAGTGTAGCTGAGGGAAACTGAGTGTAACTGAGTGTAACTGAGGGAAACTGAGTGTAACTGAGGGAAACTGAGTGTAACTGAAAGAAACTGAGTGTAACTGAGGGGAACTGAGTGTAACTGAGGGGTCCGAACCGGCTCCGTCCGACGCCGCGCGCGGCCACAATGCGTTTTAGAACACTCTGGAACGGATTCATCCTCGTCCTGGCCCCGTCCGACCCCACCCGAAGACCAACAAAACTCGGAGAGCTGGAGGAGGAGGAGGAGGAGGAGGAGGAGGAGGAGGAGGTGGAAGGAGGAGGAGGCGGAGGAGGAGGGAGGATGAGGAGGGTGGAGGGAGAAGGAGGACTGATGGAAGGGGAGGAAGGGAGGGAGGAGGGGGGGAGGGAGTGAGGTAAGGGGAGGGGAAGAGGAGAAGGAGGAGGAGAAAGAGAGGAGGAGGTACAGGAGTAGGGGGAGGAGGAGGAGGAGGAGGATGAGGAGGATGAGGAGGAGGAGGTATGTGAGTGAGGAGAAGCGTAGGAAGCGGAGGAGGACGTAGGTATGACAGCAGGAGGAGGATGAGGAGAAGCTCGGAGGCGGAATAGGCGGAGGAGGAGGAGGAGGAGAGGAGGAGAAGCGGGGGCGGGAAGGGGAGGGATGGAGGGAGGGAGAGGAGGGAGTGAGGGCGAGGGATGGAGAGGAGGAGGGGATGGGGAGGGAGGAGGTGGAGGAGGAGGAGGAGGAGGAGGAGGAACTCAGGGACCCGTTGGACCACCTCTCCTTCCTGGCGCCGCCAGGGGCGGCCGCGGCCCCGTCACGGCTCCTCCGGCACCGGCATGTCGGGCCTGGCGCGGCCCTCGAAGCCCGTCCCTCGAAGCCCTCGACGCAGCTCGACGCCCTCGAAGCCCACGACGTCCCCGAAGCCCTCGACTCCCTCGACGCCCTCGAAGCCCTCGACGCTGCCGAAGCCCTCGACGCCCCTCGAAGCCCTCGATGCCCTCGAACCCTCGAAGCCCTCGACGCCCTCGAAGCCCTCGACGCTCTCGAAGCCCTCGACGCCCCTCGAGGCCCTCGACGCCCTCGACGCCCCTCGAAGCCTCACGGCTCCTCCGGCACCGGCATGTCGGGCCTGGGGCGGCCCTCGAAGTCGAAGCTCACGGAGCCGCCCGACACCCACACGTCCTGGAAGCTGCCGTCCAGCGCGCCCCCGCGGAGGCCCGCAGCGTTCGGGCTACTGTCTACAGGGATATGCCTGTCGGGGGAGTCGAGGAGGGAGGGCGTGCACGACCCAGACACCTCCTCCTCCTCCTCTTCCTCTTCCTCCTCCTCCTCCTCCTCCTCCTCCTCCTCCTCCTCCTCCTCCTCCTCTCCTTCCTCCTCCTCCTCCTCCTCCCCCTCCTCCTCCTCCTCTCTCCCTCCTCCTCCTCCTCCTCTCCTCCTCCTCCTCCTCCTCCTCCTCCTCCTCCTCCTCCCCCTCCCTCCTCCTCCTCCTCCTCCTCCTCCTCCTCCTTCCTCCTCCTCCTCCTCCTCCTCTCTCCTCCCCTCCCCCTCCCCTCCCCCTCCCCCTCCCCCTCCTTTGGGCCTCGGGGGGGCCCTCACCGGGCCCCCCCGGGGACCGTCGCGGCACGACTCGGGATGAGAAACGGGCCCCTGGGAGAGGGTCGGGGCTTCGGGGGGCCCCAGCCCGACAAAGAGCGAGGCAGGGCACGGCATGTCCAGAACGACGAAGAACGAGGTCCGACGCTCCAGAAAACCTGGAGCGGGTGGTCTGGAACGTGCTCGGCCTCCGGGAGCCCACGCCGGGCCTCGCGGGAGCGCCGTAGGACGTCGGGGGCCTCCGGGGCGTCCACGCCCCCCCAAAAAGGAGGGGAGCGGCCAGAGGTCTGGGAGCTGTGGAGGGGGGCTCGCAACGTCTGGGAGGCGGAAGGGCGTGTTGGCATGCTGTGCTGCTTCTGGAGGCGCGAAGGGTCCCTGGGACACACAAAGACATACACACAGATAACAGGATTCCCCAGATTTTCCTATGTTTTCTGGGCGTTTGGCTTCCCCCCCACTTCCCATATTTTCCCACATTTTCTGGGGAATCGACGATTAATTGTGTTTGTGTGCTTTTTCCCTCCTGAGAGACGCTCGTCCTGTACGAACACATAGTACGCAAATCTTACTGCACATCGCTTCCGAAGCGGTGTGGCCAGAAACCGCCCGCCACAGTGCGTGGTCTGCAAGATGTCTCAGCACGCGCGTCGCCCTTTGGCCGACGCACACATCGTATGAGCTTGTTCGGGTGGTGCCGAAATCATGGCTGGAAGCACGTGCGCGGCCCAGGGGGGGAAGGGGACGTCTGGAAAGAAGATGAGGGGGCCATGGAATCGCAGAACATGTCTTGGCCCTGGCCATGATATCCACCCACCCACCCTCAATAATCACCCCCCCCCCTTGGCCGCCCCCGCTGCCTGGGCAGCGTGCCGGTCTTCCTCGAGACGCCGGGGATCTGGCCCACGCTCATCGACATCACCCTGGGCAGCGGAGAGAGATGGGTCTGCATGCACGACGACACAGCGAACTCGGGCCCTGGCTCCCCAGACCCCCGACGTCATGATTTTTCATGACGCGACCCCCAGAGGTCCGGACCTATTCGCTGGGACCGGTTTTTCATCCTGAGTTGTTTTTTGACGGTCCCGAGGGCCGGTAAGGGCCCCCGGAGGCGGAAAATGTAGAAAAACCCTCCGTCGTGATTTTTGTCATGACTCGAGGGGGTCTGGGTCACGCGGGCCGCCAGCGCGGCGCACCGCGTGGATGAGATGGCGCTCGCGCGCGGCCCTGCGCGGGCAGCTCCACGCGCGACGGTCCGAGTCCGCGCAGCAGGCCCCTCGCTCTCCTGCGCCGCTCGCCTCGAGGAGCCCTTCGGGTTCTGGCTCGGGTCGAGCCTGCGGCGGGCACGCTCCATCCTCGGGGAAGCCCAGAGTGACTACCTATACCAGGCCACCCCAACCCAACCCGAAGGCTCGAAGTTCGAAGTTCGGGTTGGGGGGGTAAGGGTTCCACATGTGCTTTTTCGACGTTTCCCGACCCCCCCCCCCAATGGAAATGGAAACCAAATTGAGGCCTTCGGGTTGGGTTGGGGTGGTTTGGTGGGTGGTGAAAGAGGTACCGATACCGCTGGTCCCCGGACCTCTCCCGGGGAGCCTTCTGACCAGAGCTCTGAGGCGAATCCAGCAGGGCCTCCCCGGAGGCCCAAGAAGGCGAAAGCAAGGGAAGGGCGGCGGTATGGTTGCCTCTTCTCCCTCTGACTCCTGTCGATGTCGGCCACGCTCGGCTCGAGGTCCACCTCGCGGCGCTGCTTGAATGAATTGATGGACGGCCCCTCCCCGTAGATGTCGGTCAGCAGCCGCCTCGCGTGAGTCAGCGGCATGGCGTAGTCGCCGCCCGTCGGCAGCACCTCGCTGAACGATGTGAGCTCCTTGGTCCAGTCGTCCTCGAGGGCGATCAGGTTCACGCGCTGGAAGTGCTGCTGCAGCTTCTTGCCGCTCAGCCCAGGCGGCCCCCTCATCTTGGTCACAGAGATGAGGCGCTTCTTGCGCTCGCGCTCCTGATGGCGCGACTGGGCGCCGAGGACGGTGCGGGCGTCGGAGTCGGCGTCGCGCCGCCCTTTTTGGGGGCGGCGCGCAGGAGGACGTGGGGCGAAAGGGGCTGCCTCCTCCTCCTCCTCCTCCTCCTCCTCCTCCTCCTCCTCCTCCTCCTCCTCCTGGTCCTCCTGGCCCTCCTCCTCCTCCTCCTCCTCCTCCTCCTCCTCCTCCTCCTCCTCCTCCTCCTGGTCCTCCTCCTCCTCCTAGTCCTCCTCCTCCTCCTTCTCCCCCGCCTGCTCCTCCTCCTCCTCTGCCTCCTCCTCCTGTGGAGAGGAAGAAGACGGAGACCATGACGAAGACTGAACGCAGCTCGGTATCCGTCAGTCTTGGCCAGCGCCGATTCGAATCATCGTCCTAGCGCAGCGGCGACGGCCGGCGTTGACCATGGCTCACATCGGCGCCGACAGGGTCCTGCGACATCCTGGTCATGGTCAGCGTGCCTCTTCCCTCGACTCTACTGAACAGGAGCGCTCCACTGCTCGCAGAGTAGCTACTCGCAAAAGGCCTGGGTCCATGGTTAGGGGGCCGCGTGCGAACCCTACCCCTACCTCCCACGATTTCTGAGGGGGATGGTGGGGTTCACTTCGCTTGTGAGCTCCCGAACGAAGTGAACCCCACCCTCCCCCTCAGAAATCGTGGGGGGTAGGGGTAGGGTTCGCATGTGGCCCCCTATCGAGGCAAACACACACCACTGCATCGAGAGCAGCGCTCGTCTTTGAGGAAGCCTGCGAGCAGGCACTCCTGCGAGCAGTGGAGCGCGCTCGGTGATCCGAGGCGGCAGGCAGGGGAGGGGGCTCCTTCTGGAGTCAAGTCGGGCGTGTCCCCCTACTGGGGGGGCTTGGACGAAAAAATGATCAAAAATAATCAAATGATCAAAAATACCCCTAAATGATCAATACATGTTCAAAAAAACACGCCAAAATGATCGACAAATACGCCAAAATGATCAAAAAAATCCACAAGTCGGCCCCCGACCATTTGTTGACTATTTCTGGATGTTGCCCCTGTAGAGGGACACGCCCGACTCAATCCTAGAGGAATGGGGGAAAAAAAACGCCAAAAACACGAACTTGTGGCGTTGTTGCTCTTCCATCCGAAGGAGCCCCCTCCCCTCAGAGGGGTGCATCAGAGGGGCTCCTGCGAAGAACTCGGAGGCTGCTCCCGAGGGGGGGGCGTCCTGGAAGCCTCCCGGGCTCTTCGGGGATCTTCTGACCCGGGCCACTCCAGACCTGACCCGGGCCAGCAGGAAACCAAAAAGCTGCAATGCGGGACACAAAAACTGCAACGCAACTCTTCGCAAACCCGGGTCGGCCAGTATGCGCGGCCGCCCTCGCGGCCACGAGCGGCTCGCTAACCCGGGTCAGCCAGAGGGGGTCTTCGCAGGATCCTGCAGGATCCGGTGCCCTGGCTGACCCCTGTTTGCATTGACCCCCGTCTCTTGAGCGCCGAACCGCTTCAAGACGGCTCCGACCGGCCACGGAGCCCCCCCAGGAGGCCGCCAGGAGGCCAGAATCCTCCAAAAACCTGGGGGAAGTCCATGAAGCGTGCCTTCTCGCCGTTTCGCTTCCGATGGCCGCCGTTTGCATGGACCCCCGTTTTTGGCGGCGCGCACAAGGGGGTAGGGGGAGGGGGGAAGGCTTCTTAGAAGGAGGCTGTTTCTTAGAAGGCGCCAGCCTTACATCTACAAAGAAGGCCCGCGCCTTCTAAGAAGCAGGGGTGCTTCTAAGAAGCCCCTCCCCCCTCCCCCTACCCCCTTCTGCGCGTGGCCAGCGTTTGCATTGACCCCTCCTGGCCGAAATGCACACATGAATACACACAAATAACCGGATTCCCCATATTTTCGCATATTTCCTAGGTTTTTGTCTCCCCCCACTTCCCATATTTTCCTATATTTTCCTGGGAGGGGACGATTAATTGTGTCTGTGTGTTTTTGTTCCCTCCTGATCCTGGCCGACCCCCGTTTGCATTGGCCCCCCGTCTCCAGGCTCCCGAGGCTCCTCCGAGGGCCGCCCCGCCGGGGGCTCTTCGGAGGCCGGGGCCGCCGCCTCCCTGCCCCAGCCGTGGCCCGGCCCGGGCAAAGAGCGACGCCCCCTCTGGCGCTGCTTGACGGGCGTGTTTTCCAACACCACCATAAGTTGGAGGGGGGGGGGGGAGTCCTCCTCCCCCTCCCCCTCCTCCTCCTCCTCCTCCTCCTCCTCCTCCTCCTCCTCCTCCTCCTCCTCCTCCTCCGCCTCCTCCTCCTCCTCCTCCTCCCTCCTCCTCCTCCTCCTCCTTCCTCCTCCTCCCCCTCTTCTTCTTCTTCTTCCTCCTCCTCCCTCCTCCTCCTCCTCCTCCTCCTCCTCCTCCTCCTCCTCCTCCTCCTCCTCCCCATCTTCTTCTCCTCCTCCTCCTCCTCCTCCTCCTCCTCCTTTTGTTCATCCTCCTCCTCTTGTCCTTCCTCCTCTCCTCCTCCTCCTCCTCCTCCTCCTCCTCCTCCTCCTCGCCCTCCTCTTCGTCGTCCTCCTCCTCCTCCTCGCCCTCCTCCTCCTTCCCCCCCCCCAACTTGTGGTGGTGGTGGGAAACAAGCTCATCACTGCTGGCCCCTCAGGAACGGTTCGCCTTCGTCGATCTCCGCCGCCTCCGGCGAAGAGTCCCTCGGGTGCGCCTGCCCTCCAGCACGGCTGGAGCTTGGGCAAAATACACCAAGAAGGCCTCCTCGATGTGGTCGGAGTGGGCGGGGTCGGAGGATCGCGCCGCATCGGCGATGCATCGGGGATGCACCAGCGACGCATCGTCGACGTCGGCGAAGCATCGGCGACGTCGACGTGGAGCAAATCGGGCTCCACATCGAACCGCATCGCCGATGCATCGGCGATGTGGCGAGATCCTCCGACACCATTTACTCCGACCCCATCTGGGAGGCCTAGATGCACGCAAGCCTGCCTGGAGAACAGTGAGGAAACAAGACCAGGCAACCCGGGGAAGGCCCCTTCAGAAGCAGCAAGGAAGCGAGGCCCAGCAACGCAGGGAGGGCCGCGTCAAGAACGGAACAAGGCCAAGCAGCCCGGGGAAGGCCGGCCAGGCAGGTGGGGGCACCCACGGGGTGCCGACAAAACAAGCACGGATCCCTTGGGCAGAGACCTCCTTCTCAAAAGTCATTCAAACAGGCTTGCCGCGCCTTCAGTGAGGCCCCCTCCAGGGGTCTCTCCTGGCCAGCCTGACGATGCGCGCCCAGCCGTGGCGACGAGCGCCCCCCAGAGACGCCCAGAGAGCCTCCAAGGCGGCGGCGTCGGCGACGGCGTCGTGGCGCGCCTTAAAAAACTGTTTGCTTTCAGATCCGCTGCCTTCAGCACACTGAGCCCTGGCGCGACCCCAATGAGGGGAACGCCTCCCAAACGGCACTGCCTGGAACTGCTTGGCACTGGATTTGCATGGCTTGGCAGTGCCTGGCATTGCTTTGTCATGCTTGGCGATGCTTGGCATTGCCTGCCGTTGCATTGCGTTGATTGGCATTGCTTGGCATTGATTGGTATTGACTGGCATTGCTTGGCATTGCTTGGCGTTGCTTGGCGTTGCTTGACGCTGCTAAGCAGGGAAACAAGACCAAGCAACCCGGGGAAGGCCTCTTCCAAAACAGTGAAAGCGAAGACCAAGCAACCAGGGGAAGGCCTCATATACAATATCAGCCAGCGCAGGATCAAAATAGGTCCGAAGACATAAATCAAGTGAACAGGAGAGGACTGCAGTAGCCTGGACGGGAGTAGACTGGACTGGACTGGGGTGGGCTCTACTCCACGTTACTCTACTCGACTCTATTCTACCCGATTATACTCTACCATCTACCCTACCCTACCCGACCCTACTCTACTCTACTCGACTCTACTCTACTCTATCCTACCCTACCTTACCATACCCTACCATGCTCGACCCTACTGGACTCTACTATACTATACCCCTACTGTGCTCTACTCTACTCCTACTCTAATATCCTCGAATATGATCTCCTCCACTCTACTCTACTGGAATGTACTCTGCTACGCGATACTCTAGCATACCCGACTCTACTCGACCATCTAGCCTACTTTACTCTACTCTGCTCTCCTCTACCCTACTCTACCCTACCTGCCCTACCCTACCCTAGCCTACTCCACTCTACTCCTACTCGAATATACTCTATGATACTATACTCATACTATAACTTACTCTGCTCTACTCTACTCTACTCTACTCTACTCTGCTCTACTCTACTCTACCCGTCTAAACTGTTCTACTCTACTCGACTCGAGTCTACTCTGCTCTACCGTACTCTTCCCGACGTCTGAGTTTGACGATTAGATTACTGGACGATTATTGGGACGCCATCCGAATAGCCGCGGGAAGTTATTGGAATAACAGAAGAAGCCATGCAGATACAGAGGAAGTCATGCGGATAGCAGAGGAAGCGATGCGGATACAGAGGAAGTCATGCGGATAGCAGAGGACGCCATGCGGATACAGAGGAAGCCATGCGGATAGGTTTGACGATTGCTGGACGATTATTGGGACGCCATTGGAGTAGCCACTGAAGTTATGATAATATCAGCGGAACCCACGCAGATGCAGAGGAAGCTATGCGGACAGCAGAGAAAGCCATACGGATAACAAAAGCAGCCATGCGGATACAGAGGAAGCGATGCGTACAGCTTGACGATGCACAATCGAAATAGAGAGGGGACCAGCGGACCAGTTCTGTACGGCATGGACTCCTATACGCGAGTCTGCTTGAAGAACAATGCGGAATAAGACCAAGCAACCCGGGGGGGGCCTCTTCAAAAACAGGAAGGAAACAAAACCCAGTAACCCAGGGAAGCCCGATTCAAGAGCAGTAAATAGGGGAACAAAAAAGTGTCATAAACATAACAACTCGGAGGTCCGCGCGGATGTCTCGGATCGGCGCCAGGGCCCCCCGGCGGCGCCTCCGGCGCCGCCACTGGCGCGCTCCGCGCGCCAGGGAGGGGGGTCCAGCGCGGATCCGAGAAATCTGCGCGGACCTCCGAAATTTTATGTTTATGTCACTTTTT